TCAGAGTTCAGTGTAGCAATGATGAAATATGTACTTTTCCTGTAGTTCTTAAATGCTTCCTCCCCGCCACTACCATGATCCCAAGTCTACCTTACATATCCGGCTGGACCGGAGGATGTACACTGGCACAGATAGGAACTGGAAATGCAGTGAACCCAGGACAGATGAACCCCCAGGACCAGTGGAGAGAGTGGCGATATCGGGACGGTGGAGGGAAGGTGAAGGAGAAAGGGGGAGCAGATGACAAGGTCTACATATGGCCTCCTCCCTGGGGGATGGACAGCGGACAAATGGGTGAGGGAGACGTCGAATGGGGTAAGATATGATAAAATAATAATAATTTATAAATTATCAAGGGTTCAGGGAGGAAGGGGGAAAAACGAGGAGCTGACACCAAGGGCTCAAGTGGAAAGCAGGTGTTGTGAGAATGATGAAGTCAACATATGTACTAATGTGCTGGACAAAATGACATATGTACAGATTGTGATGAGTTTTATGAACCCATAATAAAATGATTATTAAAAACAAAAATAGCTCACTGGAGGTGGGACACATGCTCACTCCCTGGGAGACATTCCTGCTGACAAAATACATGGAGCTACAGTAGTGCCCTGGAGCTGGAGGAGCCACATAGAAACCTCTGCCAGTGTTGAGCTGCTTATACCACTACCGAATCCACAAGACTTTCCACCCACTGGTGGGTGATCTTCTTGCATTCAGCGTCATTGCATGTGTTTCAAGAGTTTGTAGATTTGTATAAGACATCTGAGCTAATATTGGACTTATGACTTGATCTGGATTGGGCTGGAATGTTTTCTTAATATACAATTGCTCTTTTTTTTTTTTTTTCACCGTCATTCCATTTATTAGGCAGCAAACAGCAGGACCAAGGGAGAGGCCCTGGCGGGACACCCTCCCATTATTGCTAACGGGCCTGGAGGCGCTCAGCCAGGGACCCAGCCCCTGGTCCCGGGGCTGGCGCAGCGTCCATCGCTGGCCCTAGCACCAACTCATGAATCCTCACCCGGGCCCATCTTCCGAGGGCCACTGAACGCCTGGCCAAGCCAGGCTGGCTAGCCTCGGGGCTGCCAAGGCCAGCTCCAGGCAGGCTGGATGGGGAGTCCGGGACCGTAGCGGGGACTTAGGTCCCAGGATCCAAGCTAGGCCAGGGCTCTTCAGGGCTGCAGCAGGTAGCTGCCTTCATGGCTGGGCTTCTGGGGAGGGGGCGCCTTCTCAGGACAGGGGCCGGGGCTGGAGTTGGGACTGGATTCGGAGAGGGAGTCAATGTCAGTGGAGCGGGAGTGGCAGGCCCAGCAGAGGATGACCCAGAGCAGCAGCAGCAAGAGGCCTACAAGGCCATTGCAGACGATAGCGATGAGGGCCCCCTGGGAGATGGCTGTCCCCATGACGGGCAGCACCCTTAGGCCAGCACAGACAGTGGGGCCGCCTCGATAGCAAGGCCCATGCCGAGGTGGGACTCAGGGATGGCTGCTGTCCTGTCTACACGCTCAATGGTTCCTGGCCACTGGAGAGGTCCGTCTGCAGTCCTGGGTCTGTGCTGAGTTGAGCCCAGAGCGCGCCCGCGGGAGGGTACCGGGCAGCAGGATGCTGTACGCCGACTGAGGCTCCAGGGCGAGCCGGCGGG